AAAATATTTGATTTACAAATAAGGAATCCTACTTCGTAGAATTTCATTTATCACGGTAGGGTCTAGAACCGATTAACCGTGATAAACGAGGGTTCACTGTACTTCAGTTCAAAAGAAGGAAGGAAAACATGTGTTTAAAGATTCTCATATATGGGTCAAGTCACAACCCCTACAAGTGTTTAAGCACAGAGAAAATCTTGTAGAACAGGGCCCATGGGCAAAGGACTCTGTGAATGTGGGAAGGCAAAATATTGTGCCTTCTCTACAACCACTAACGATAACTGGCATTTCATTCATTTATGGAGGTAGACAATAAGCCACTGCAGTAATAGTCCTACCTGAGAGCCTGAAGTCAACAGAACCCAGACATTTTCTTTTAGTCTTAAGTTGCCATGTACTGGGCACCCTCAAAGCAAGAGACGTGAACCACAGCCCAGTGACTTCCAAAGCCATAATCCTGGGATAGTACTCACTTGCCCCTCAGGCACTGTCATTTCATGTCAGTATTACAGACATCATCACTGTTTCAAATGACAGTTTTTCAACTCCATGCTCTATTTTGTTACATAGTAAGCACATATATGAACTCATAAATATGTTTAAATATTCTAATTGTATTTCAGTAGAGTAGGCTTCCTTAATAATCCTGTGTATTGTATTTTACAGATTAAAAACATTCTGAGATGGGGTCTCTGATATTCATCAGGTTACTAAAGGAGTTCATGACTCGCCAAAAGCAGGAACTGGGCTGTGGGGAGAAATTCTGCTAACACACTGGGTCTCATCTTGATGGCCTTTAAAGTTTCTTCTAATCCTGGGATTGGAAAAGCAAGCATATTTTCACACAGCATTTTAACCAAAAAAAGTAGAGCCAAACAAAATCCACAAACCCACCGTAGTGCAGTCAATTACAATTCCTAGCATTCTTACGGGGCAGAGTAGACTGATCAAGAGGTTTCCAAGGCCACGGTGATCTTCACAGAAGCCCACTGCCACATCTTTCTCCCATAGAGTAGCTGACCACTGGGATAGCAGCCACACATGAACCACTCAGTCACCAGCGTACTATGATGGATTTAACTGTCTTCCCACGTACCACCTCATTGGATTCCCTCCCTTTACCACTACGCTATCATAAATGTTTGTTCAATGAGTGATTGAGTGAATAAGTAAATTATTGGTCAGAAATGAAAAGCAAATATTTCCATCAAGAAGAATTTCACTCCTTACAATGCAGTTTGTTGCTCCGGCTGTTGAGAGGTTCTGGTCCGTTCACGTCTTTGCTCTTTTCATTATCCTCAATGGGTCGGAAATGAGCCAGAGTTCTCATGAATCCACGGAAGTTTACCTGGTCCTCTCTGGTTAGGAAATATAACAGACAGGAAACCCTAATCAATCAGGGCATACCAATCAGGAAGATCCAAGCCCAAATCAAACTCACTGCCATCGAGTCCATGCCGACTAATAACACCCTATCGTCCAGGATGAGCCCTATAGGACCAGTGGTGTGAGTGGCAAAACAGGGAGGGTAAAGGGAGAATGGGTAGGAAAGAGGGAACCGATTACATGGAACTGTGTGTGACCTCCTCCCTGGGGGACGGACAACCGAAGAGTGGATGAAGGGAGACGTCGGACAGGGCAAGATATGACAAAATACCCATTTATAAACTATCAAGGGCTCATGCGGGAGGGGGGAGCGGGGAGGGAGGGGAAAAATGAGGACCTAATGTCGGGGGTTTAAATGGAGAGAAAATGTTTTGAGAAACGATGTACAAATGCGCTTTACACAATTGATGTGTGTATGGATTGGGATAACAGTTGTATGAGCCCCTAATAAAATGTTAAAAAAAAAAAAAAAGACAGAAGTGTGCCTGTGAGCTTGGAGACTAGCTCTTTCTTGAGGGGAAATGCCTGTCTTTCTCTCCCAGTAGTTGTCATCTCCAACTGCTACCCTTACAGTCAGCAGCTGACTGGTGACCACTATGCCACCAGGCCGCTTGCATCAAGATCACCATCTCTTAGAAATTCAATATATCGGCAACAGCTTTAACTACATTAGCAGAAAAGTCCATTCATCGAGGTCTTTTTCCATGGGTCTGGTCCTGTGAGCCTCATCAGAAACCCTGTGGAGCAAGGGTTAATTGGTGTTTGAGTCCACCAGCTGCTTCATGGGGAAAAAATGTGGCAGTGTGCTTCCAAAAAAAGATGTATAGTCTTGTACACCTTAAGGAGTGGTTCTACTCTGTCTTATTGAGTCACTGTGAGTCAGAATCAGGAACTCATGTAGTTCCCAAACCCAAAGCCAAGCTACCAAGTCAATTCCAACTCAGAGCAGCCCTACAGAACAGAGTTGAGTACCAGGTTTTCTGCACAGACTGCCAACGAGTCGATTCTGACTCACAGAGACCCAACACGTCAGGGTTTCTGAGGCTATAAATCTTTATGGGAACAGAAAGCCTCATCTTTCTCTCACAGAACAACCTTGCAGTCCGCAGCCTAACCCATCACTCACTACGCCACCAGGGCACCTTGAATGGAGGCCCGCGGCATGCACAACACAGCGGCTAACCACAGGATCAGAGGTTCCCGTTCACCCAGGGCACTTTGGAAGAAAGGCCTGGTGATCTACTGAAAAATAGGCCATTGAAAACCTTTGGGACGGACCAATTACAAGAATCTAAGTATTGCCTCCTCCCTGGGGGATGGACAGCAGAGAAGAGGGTGAAGGGAAACACTGGACATGGTAACTTATGACAAAACTATAATAATTTATGAACTATGAAGGGTTCATGAGGAAGGGGGGAGGGGGAAAATGAGCAACTGATATTAGGGGCTAGAGTGGGAGGCAAATGTGCTGAGAATGATGAGGGCAACAAATGTGCATATGTGCTTGACACAATGGATGTATGTATGGATTGTGATGAGAACTGTATGAGCCCCCGATAAAATAATTAAAAAAGAAAACCTTTGGGGCACAATTCTGTTCTGACACAGGGATAGAAGTGCCAGGAGTCCGTCGACTCAAGAGCCACAGGGACTGAGTAGGACACACTGAGTATCTTCAATTAGACCCCACCTCACCGCAACCTTGTCAGACCACGATTCTTATTCCCATACCACAAATGATCACACAGACTGAGAGAAGTAACAGGCTGAGCAAAGTCAGTTACTGATTGAGTTTACTTTTATCTCTTTCCCCAAAAAAGGATTTGTGGGGATGCACAGCTAAGAGAGCCAGGACTCAAACTCACCGTTTCTGACTCTGCAGACTACAACTAGTCCTTCCAACCCACAGACTTCTCAACCACCTCTCTAGTCCCCTTGGCAGTGAACACACACACATACACTTATATCGTGATATCTGATAGTTATGTAGATTCATTATGGAAAAGTTGGTATCAAAATAAAATTGAGTTGCAAAAGTAATTCAAAAAAATTAAAAAGTAGAAAGAAAAAGACCACCTCTAATTCTCCCAATTAGAACCACTTAAAATTGAATGAAAAGTCTTCTTCATCTTCTTCATTCTATATTTTTTAAAATGCACCATGTGACATAATTCGTTGTTGCTTTAGGGTGGCCAGGGCAGTTCTACTCTGTCTTGTGGGGTCACTATGAGAAAGATCGACTGGAGGGTAGTGAGGTTCTCTTTGGTGTGCCCCATGGAACAGACGGGCACGTGGGATCTCTCAGTGCTAGGTAGAGACGCACAGCTATTTGGTGGTAAGCAGACACTTTTGCAACGTAAGACTGAAGACTACATCATGAGCTCACTGTACTCGAGAACGACCTTTCCTTCTTCAAGGTAGCTCTATCACTAAAGGTGTAGTACCTGGACAGAAGAGCTGAGGAATCAAGTCATATGCAATGAGATCTCCATCATACTCCAGAACCAGTAGACTAATTGGTACATATATCAAGAGAATAATGTCTCTGGATAAATGGGAACTAAATTCCACCTGCAAATGGTGACGACAGAAACAAAGCCCCAGAGCAAAATATGCAAATCTGATGAGCTCAAGTGGCAGAGGTGCAGCTTTGTTAAGCTTTAGCAGCCGTGCAGACCTCCGCTACTTCAGGTGCACACCTGCATAGCTCCCTCAGTAGTCATCAGTGGGAAGACAGCCAGGAGACAGTCATGTCAGAAAAGACATGGTTTAACTTTACAAAACCGCTTTCCGAATGTGTAAGCTACTTCAAGCAATCATGGTGCCTAGGTGCAAACTGACTGCCAGCGAGTCAATTATGGCCCTACAGGACATAGCAGAACCGCTCCTGTGAGCTTCTGAGGCTCGCTTGCTTTTCTGGACTGTAACTCTTTACAGGAGTAGACAGTCTCATCTTTCTCCTGAGGAGTAGCCAGGATGGTGGTTTGAACTGCTGACCTTGTGGTTAGCAACCCAGCTCATAACCCTGAACACTGCCAGAGCTGCTTCTTAAAGGTGACTAAGGAATCCTGGGTGTCTGTGGGGGGGTGGGGGTGGGGAGTTGGCAAGTGACTCTACTGGATTTTCAATTTCAAAAGGATTGGATACAAAGTATAGCGATGAAAGTTCTCTCTGAACATGTTTCATGTTAGCTCTGCAAGGGTTAAAGAGAGGAACCCGAGAAGCTGCAGAAAGCAGTACAAAAGGCACACCTGAAACAAACAGCCCAGGTCACAGAGCAGGGCTGGGGGGTGGGAGGGACATACGGGAGGGGCTGCGGAAGATGACGTCAGGACCAGCAGATGACTGTCCCATTCAAATCCACCTTCTCCCTTTCACTTTGTTGCTCAAATGTACTGAAACCCAACGTCATCTCGGCTTGCAATTCCTTTGCCCTCAGCGTGGTTTGAAAGTTTCCTCCCCAAGGCAATTTATCTGACCAACACTTACATGTCTTTGCACTGAAGTCCTTCAGACAAAACAGACCAATTCACATGATGCAAGGAAGTGCTTACTTAGGAGATTACGTAAAACAAGATTTATTTACTCAAATCAATAAACATTTACTCAATACTTTCTTATAAGGAAGGTAGTGAATTAGACAATGAGGCATAGCCAAAGTCTACTTTTTTTAATCACACAAACCCAAATGAAGGCATAATCTATTCTGAAAAGTGTGTTTATGTGTGGTAGGGAGAACTATTCTTGAAAACCCAAACAGTCCACTGCCATCTGACTTGGGGTTTCCAAGACTATTAGTCTTTTTATTGGTGAAATGACAGAAATACAAATAATAGATAGAAAAAATAGATAATAGATTTAATAAAGCACTGCCTTAATGTTAATTTAATGATGTTGATAATTATACTATAGATATATAAAAGAATATTCAATTTTTGGAAATACATACTTACATGTTTAGGGATAAAAAGCCACAATTAAACAACTTACCCTTACATAGTTCAGAAAAAAATTGTAAAAAAAATTATAGATAAACACACACATGGAACAAATATGTATATGATATATATAAATTAGATAGATACAGAGAAAGGAAAATGTGTGTGCCATTTATATGTGCACTGCACTAGCCATGTGGCCAGTGAGCACCTGAATTGTGGCTAGTCTGAACTGACATGTGGAAGTCACAAGACTGAATACAAAAAATGAAACGGAAAATGTCCCAATAATTTAAAAGTATTAGTTATATATTGAAATGTTTTGGATATACTAGATGAAATAAACTACCATATAAACTTGTGTATAAGCCGAGTTTTTCAGCATATTTTTAGGCAGTTTCTGTGGTAAAGTTAGGTGCCTCGGCTGACATTAGGGTCAGCTTATACTAGAGTATATACAGTACATATTGCCAAAGTTAATTTAATCTGTTACTTAAAATTCTTAATGTGGCTATTAAGAAAATTCATAACTACCTGTGTAATGATCTTTTATTCATATATACATATTGTCTATATAGAGCCTGCATTATATTTTCACTGGGTACTTAAGAGAAAGGGGGGAAAGGCGCTGTATGTAGGCAAAAATGATTCAACACACGAGGTAAATGTTAAAATGTAGCAATACAGCATTACATGCATTTAGGTAAAGATTTACAGATGTTCTTTCTACTCTTCATTTCAGCAATTTTTCGCTAAGTTTGACATTATTTCTAAATGAAAGTCTGCAAAAGCCCAATTTTACATCAAATATAAATATGATTGGACAGAATTTTGAAAATGGGCTGACATGCTGATTTCATATTGAAAACAGAGAAGAGGGTAAAAGAAAGAGATATTTCAGATATGACAAAATCAGAGATGTCCAGATAATGAAGTGGCAATAAGGATCTGGGGTGACCTAAGCAATATCCTCATTACAGGTGAGCAATTAATTCAGGCTGAGACAATCCCATGAAGGAAGTACAGGACGAGTAAGAACTCACCCCTCTGGAAAGAAGGCATTGATGATCCGGTCCCCCAGTGGGTTGATGGCAAGTTCTGGAATTCGCTGGAAATCTTCCCGGCTGCCAAGTCAAGGAGAGAATCACTTTGAGTTAATAGTGACCGTTGATCCTCTGCATGAACGCCTTTGGTCTGGAACAGGATATGACTTAGCCAGATCATTACCTCCCGGAATCTACTCCTGTGGCAAATTAAACCAAATAACTGCAAGTAGAAGCACTTTTACAGCCAACAAGTGTTTCTTGAACCAGCTTGGGAGTGGAGGAAGCCAGATTTGATTATGTCACATTTCAGTAACTTCAGCACACAGATTATGTCAACAGACCAACTAACAAGCAAATACTAAGTGATCTCTGCCAATGATTCTATGATTGTTACCATTTTATACTTTGTTATTAAGTGGAGAATACACAGCAAATAGACACTATCAGACAGTAACTTAAAATTAGGGGCAAAAGTCCAGAGAAGTCACCATACCCTGCCTTCTCATCTTTGGGTTGGGGCAAATCTTGCCTACTTGGTCTCAGAGTTAGTTGAGTATTCTAAGGAGCACATTCTTGACGGGTATTATTTAGTTCACAGGCCTGCCTATCCTGTGACTGAGAGGCGGCCTCCAGTTTCAACTTAGGTGGTTATATTGCAAGACTCTTAAGGCTTCCTCCAGCTTTTTTTTTTTTAAACATTTTATTAGGGGCTCATACAACTGTTATCGCAATCCATGCACACATCAGTTGTGTAAAAGCGCATTTGTACATCATTCTCAAAACATTTTCTCATTGCTTCTCGGCCTTTTGGCTAAGATCAAGTGTAGTATCTGTTCTTACCAGTTTAATATCTGATACGTCCTCTATCTGAGGACAATATATTAAATGGATTTTTGGAGCAGGGAGATGGAATAGGAGCTTGCTCCGTCCACTCCACGCATCGACCTGGTATTGCAGTATTTCCAGGAACGGTGCACCCTCTCGGGGGACTTTAAAACACACACACACACAAACATTTTCTCTCCACTTAAACCCCTGACATTAGGTCCTCATTTTTCCCCTCCCTCCCTCCCTTCCCTCATGAGCCCTTGATAGTTTGTAAATTGGTATTTTTGTCATCTCTTGCCCTGTCCGATGTCTCCCTTCACCCACTTTTCTGTTGTCCGTCCCCCAGGGA